GGTTAATTTTACCTCCATCTTATTGCTGGAAAGTTGAAAGTTGATTCTCTCATCCAGGCGCCCTTGAATCTGCAAAGAAGCTTGATATAGATGTCTTGGTCTAATTTAACAATGCAAACCACCTTTCTTTGATTTCTCTACCTCCTCTGTCACTTCTACCTTGTCTTCCACTTAAAATTAGAAAAGATGAATATGTCAAGGAATGTGAACTTTCGACTTGCCCATGAAATGAGAATTAGACATGGCTTGCTTGTCTCTTTTGGGTGCATTGGCGCCAATGAGGAAATAGAGATATATAAATTATCTCTGTTTGTAAATCATGGAAAAAAGAAAAGTCACCTACATAGTTCACTTAATTATATATTAGTGAACAACTGAATCCAAGAAAATTGAAAAATGAAGGAATAAAAGAAGTCTTTTGATGAAGTAATTTGTTTCGTTAAAAGAAAAGGCATCAAGAAGATGCTGTATTTCAAGGAGCTTAATTACAGGACTCGGAAATACAAAAGAATAAAGTGAGTTGCTTGCCCCTATACAATGTCTCAGTCCAGGACAAGAGTGCTAACAAACTCCAAAAAGTGTCCAGTACTAATTACTACTATTTACTGGGGACAATTTTGCCCAGCAAAAAGAAGTGGTAAAACATTTGGCTTTAAGTGAGTGGTTTGGAGTTGAGATTCCGTCAAAACATCTTCAGTTTCTCTCATTCCATAGACACCAACAAATAACTGCAGGGATCATAAGCCAGATATTTTTGATGGATTTATCAACTTTCCAAAGACTCCAACTGCCTCTCTCAGATTCTGTGGCATGACCCAACTTATCCTAAAAATGCAGTAGAACATGCTCCATATGTGATATTATCTCATTTTCTTCTGTTTCATAGTGCTTATTGTATCAAATTCTCCTTTTGTGCAGAAGAACAGCGTGTGCACGATCAGAAACAAAGCAAATGTTTGCTGTGTTCAGTTTTCACCTGACTCCAGTCATTTTCTGGCTTATAGCTCCGCCGATTACAAGACTTATTGCTATGATCTTCGAAATACCTCAGCCCCTTGGTGCGTATTGGCTGGCCATGAGAAAGCTGTTAGTTATGCAAAATTTTTGGATGCTGAAACGCTCATTTCTGCATCCACTGACAACAGCCTGAAGATATGGGATCTCAATAAAACCAACTCAAGTGGCTATTCAGCCGATGCTTGTGTGTTAACCCTTAAAGGGCACACCAACGAGAAGGTTGGCTATTATTAAACTTAATGATACTATTACTGCTTTTCGCTGTCAGTGTACGAGTTGACATCTTCTCTTTTATTATCAGAACTTTGTGGGGATGTCTGTGAACGATGGATACATAACATGCGGGTCAGAAACAAATGAGGTATGTTCCTGCTCCCCGTTTTAATGAGGAATGTATCAATATGAATCTCTTCTATTCCTATGATTGAAGATCGGACCTAATAGGAACGGAGGGTTGAGGTGTTAAGTTTTACTCGTACTGGGATATATGCGGTCACATATCATTGACATTGATAATTTTGATTTGATTGATCAAGTTATTGGATGTCCTACATTTTAGGTTCCTTAAACTGAGGTCTGAGTATTTTCTGTACTAGACTTAGGGTACGCGCGATGCGCGTGAATCCTGTCTCAATGAATATAAATTTATGCATTAAATTATAAAATAAAATTGTAAGTTCCTAAAGATGATCATTATATTGATTGTGTATAACTAAGACAATAATTAAAGAAACTATCTTAGAAGTCCTCAACATCAATAATTCAACTTAAAATTTGTTCCAAATTTATAATTTCAGAATTTTAGTTTCACGGGCAAGAACCTTAGTAATCTAAATAATCTTGAAGGATACAACTTACAACATATAAGCAGGTACCTAATAATCTACAAACATTAAATAAACACAAAATCAAAGTGCAATGATAAACAAAAAAAGACATTAAAAAAGAAGAAGAAATAAAGCCAGCTAGTAAGAGAATCTACAATTGAAAGCTAGCTTATAAACCCACTCATATTTAGCTAGATATTGTGGATTAAAAATTAAAGAATCTCATAAATTATCTCGTTAATTTTGTGCCTTTTATTTGTTTTTGCTCAATATTGCTCATAATTACAATAGTGCATTTAAAATTTTTGTAAGTTAAAAGTATAAATATTGAATAATATTATTAGTACTAGTCTTGTATATTTTTAAAAAGTGAACTATCTACGCTATTGTCCAAGAACCCATACCTCTTCTTTCTTAAATCTTTTTTATTTTTCCTTTATTTTATTAAACTATCATTTATATATGGTTTACGTGTAAGACTTATACAAAGTTCGAAATGAAAAGAAAAAACAAAGTTTAACTTTCTCCATGGTTCAAATAAGAACCAAATCAATAAGTAAATTTTAATTTATTTAAGCTCTTAAATATTTAAAAAATAATTAAATAGCTATTAAATGAAGTATTTCTAATAATATTTAACATAAAATTGAGGGACCCCCCCCTCTCTCTCTCTCTCTATATATATATATATATATATATATATATATAAAGACCAAGTTTAAAATGAAAAGAAAAAGCATTTGCTTTAAATTTTAGTCCTTTATTGTAGGTAAATATTATTAAAGAATTCACGTAAAGCGTTATTAAATAGTATTCCATTGGGTGTATAAAACTCACGTTTTCTTATTAATTAATATATGTTATGATGGCCAAAGGCTGAAAATTAGGACTTCTTACTTAGTTCAATAAGGAAATATTTAATAACCAAAATTTTAGGTGATTTAAATACCCTAAATATTAGGAAAGTAACTTAAATTACAATTATGTCCAATGTGAAATTTATTTTTAGAGGGTAAAAAAGGCGAATGACATTTCGCTAAGAGCATTCGTGCTTTTAATATAAATATAGATAGATGTTGCAGAAGAAACACATCTGCTAGCCATTTGCGACACCATTCCCTCCGAAAAAAGAACCGCTGTTGCTGATTACAATTTCCTCATTTGAAACCATGTTTTTCTTTAGAAAGGAAAAATTGTTTAACCCACTTTCTGTATTTAATAGGAGCATCTCTAAAAGAGATTATAACCTTCATGCTGAGAATACAGAAAATGCGAATAGACTACTGTTTGTGTATTTATTGCACCAATTTGTTATACTAAGCCACATTGTTATGGTAGACTATATTTCCTCGACTGCTTTCTTTGACCCAAAGCTACCTTTTGGCTGCTAAGCAAGGAAAAACAAAACTGTTGGAAATTAATTTTCTTGCCTTTTTGCCCATCTGTTCTGGAAAGTACAGAAAAGCAGCTGAAACTTTAAAAAAAATCCTGCGCCATTTCGTGCAAAACGTGTACGAAACTTGAAGATTGGTTTGTTCTTGTATTACAGTTTCCTTTTTCTTTCAAACGAATGCATTCAGAAAATGATATTTTTTCCTTTACTTTTTCTTTGCTGTAAATCTCTCAAGAAATTAATTTTTATGCCAACTTTCTTGACATCCAAATGAGGTGAAATGGATAAACATACAGAAAAAGGAGAAGACTTTTCTTATTACTGGCTTATCTCTTTCCTGCAGGTCTTCTCTTATTACAAATCTCTGCCTATGCCTATTACTTCTCACAAGTTTGGCTCTATTGATCCAATCTCTGGTAAAGAGACTGATGACGACAATGGGCAGTTTGTTTCAAGTGTTTGTTGGAGACGGAAGTCAAACACGGTTCTTGCTGCCAATTCCAGTGGCTGCATAAAACTACTAGAGATGGTTTAGATGTGGACCAGGTGAAAAATTGCAGCCTTCAATTGCTCCTTCCTCCTCAAATGTCTTGGGAATCTTTGTGTGGATCATGCTGAAATGCAGCTGTATGATTCCTTGAGAAATTCTGGGATATCTTCTCTAAAAGTATTAAGGTTAAACTTGGGGAAGGCACCCAAGTCTGCTCAATCTGTCTTGACAACTGTGGGGTTGTAAGATCCAAAAAGTTTAGGAAGCTGAACAGAAACCAGTAGTATGTTGAAGGAGTCTGCTGGAAAGGCAGTAAACGCTGAAATTACTCGCTTAAGCCTAATATACTGTAGCGTTTCCAAAGATGCTTCGCAAGTGTCTGATAGGTGGAGAAAGCCATTTCTGCCACCTGATTGACTGAATCTTGAGATATCCCCTCAGAATCGATGCAAGCACAGTAGTGATGTCCTCCATATTTTAGAAGGATCAGGGTGTAGCTGAGTGCACTGTCCATCATATGAAATTGCAGTCAAGATAAATTTTGTTGGTGTGTGTGATGTTCATTTGTACATTCAGATAGATACAGCAATTGTAAAAGCATGTGTTACAGGATCAGTTTAGTTGATGATGAGTTGGTTGTACATGTCATAATTTCCTTCTTACGTAGCAATATATAGGAAATTTGTACATTAACTGTCAAATGAATTTTAATACTTAGGCATTTCTTTGTGCCATATTGGGGTACAGATGACAAAAATTTGTTGTTTTTATCTCCATTGATCTAATGGCATAAAATAGATAAATCCACAGTAACATATTTATTAAAATATGCAGGTCAAAACTGCTTCAAGTGAAACCAATTTCATGTGAATGGAAGTCTCCAAAATATGATTGAGAAATGTGAATAGCAGATTTTCTTCCTGAACCTAGCAGTTGTAAATGGCTGAACAGCATTCAAAACCTGTGTAATCCAGATGAGTACAGACCTCCAAAAAGTCAAAGAATATATATCCAACAAGTAAAAAAGTTAAAGGGTAAACGTAATATACAAAGTTAATCCATCCTTTGCATCAAAATTTTGAGCTGCAAAGTTGTCTATCAAATTTAAAATGAAAACCATATGAAACATTGTCAACTGTTGTGAACTCATTGGTTGTTGCTATGAGGTTTCTTTGGTCTATGTGGGCTCATAGCTGAGGGCAAATGGCACTCTTGGTTTACTCTGGCACAGCGCGAACATGGATTTAATGGTGATGCACTTGGGGACTGATATCCATATCCATTTCTATTTGAAGTGATTGCTGGTGATCTTGGAAATGAAGTAGTTTTTGGTGTTTGTGTTGGAGAAGACATTGTTGATGATTGTATTCTCTTAACTCTAGCTGGTGAAGATCTTGGCGACGAGTCCATCAGTTTCTCTGCAAAAAGCCATTCAATTTATGTTTATGTTAAAGAGTCCAAACTAAATAGTCCCCTAACAATAACAAGAAGCAAGTTGAAATCTTTGTAAGCCAAGGGATATAAGAGCTAACCTGGTGCAGTGCTACTCTCTTTATCCTGTAGTTTTTTGTGCAGTGTAGCTTTCTTTACTGATACCTTTGAATTGCTTGGTTTGGATGCAGTTGTCTCAGAATTCTCGGATGACATTGAGCTTTGATTGGCTTCTGGACTTGATAACACTTTCTTCTCTGGATTCTTGGGTTTTATTCTTTTCGACAGAGTTTTCCTTTGTGTAGAATCACCACGAACGGGCTTGACATTGGCTGTTGACAACTGCTTCTTTTCTGGGATTTCGTTACATTCTAGTTCCTGATTATCAGATGAACTTTTCTCCTCCGGAATTGCAGACCTTACTAATTTCAGATCTGGTGCAAGTTTCTTTTCTTGAATCTCAGAACTAGTTAATATCTGATCACCTGATGAATTTTTCTTCTCTGAAATCCCTGGAGAGGCTAATTTCTGCTCGGCTGCTACACTCGATGAAAGTTTTCTGTCACCCGTCTTAGGAGACATAGCATTCTCCTGGTTTTCTAAAAACTTCAGCTTTTGGTTCTTCCTCATTGATAAAATAGTCCTCTCGGGTGTATCAGTCCGCGGTGAGCACTGATCGCCTGATGGTGTTAGTATTGCTTTCTTTTCCAGAATATCAGCAAAAATTGTCTTTTCATTAGCTACTGCCACTGGAAGTTTCTCTCCTGGACTCTCAGAGCAAAGTGACATTTGATCGAACGAGAAAACTTTTCTAAGTGGTGTCTCGGAGATGACTGACCTCTGATCCAAGAATCTTGAATCTTTCCTCTCTATTATCTCAGAGCAAACTGACCTTCGATCACTTGGAGCGAAAAAGAGATCATCTATTGTAGCCATATGCTCATCATCACTCTGCATTGATGCTGTCCTGTGGCCCGAAAAACCATAATGTGATGAATCCCAGTGCTTCTCTTTAGAGTTACCAGAAATTTTCTCTTTCTCAACAAGTCTATAAGCAAACATCTGGAAAGGAATTTGTGATACTGGGGCCAAACTAATACTATCCTCTCCCGGGAATTTCTTTGAGTAGCTAGCCTCGATTTCACAATAGTCTACGAGTGGAGGAGGGCATTCAGGTTGGCCATGTTCTGGATTTATGACAAGGACTTTCTTGATATAATGCAATATTCTGCATAGAGAAGAGAAACTTGGGCGAAGATTTGGATTCGTTTGCCAGCATTTTCTGGTCAAGTTTGCGAGATATTTAGGTGAAGGATATGGAAAGAGAGGTCTCTCTCCTGTTCTAATATTTCGAGCCATTTTCTCCCCTTGCAGATGTTCATCGAATGGAGCTTTCCCCGTTAAAAGCTGAAAGCATACCATCCCATAGCTATAGACATCAGCTTTCTCTGTGTACTTGTAAGTGCATTTGCTTTCCGACTTTTCTTGTTCAGCCAAAACTTCTGGTGCATACCATATGAAAGAATCAGCAGCATTGGAATTGGCCGCTTTGTAATTACTCTTAATAGAGGTTAACCCTAAGCCTTTGACTTTTGCATGAAAATAACTCTCCGCGGAAGAATTTCTTGGTTTGAGGAGCACGTTAGATGGATTCAATTCTCCGTGATAGATCTTTCTCGAGTGCAGATACTCCATTCCTCTAGCAATCTGAAGCATAATATCAACTGCAACCGGGATAGGAAATGGTCCTCGCTTCCTTTGGCCGGAATGCTCTTTTATGTAAGTGAATAAACTTTTGTTCATGAGCTCCATAACAAGGTACCCTTCTTTCCTTTCTTCATCATAAAAACCACAATGATATTGCAGAATGTTGGGGTGAGAAAGCGATAACACCAGAGAAATCTCATCGACTAGTGGTTCAATTAGCTCTCCAAAAAAGTTCCTCAAAGCAAAAGTTTCTCCTAACCAGTTAATCTCCTTAACATGTCCTCCCCACGATCCTAGACGCCTCTTCACATGATAATCGCTTGCTCCAATCAAGATTGAACTAGGCAAGAGCATTATTTTGTTGAGTTTTTCTGATCCATTTAGTTTCTTGAGCATCAAATCAGCCAGCCTTTGCTCGTTTATCGCCAAATTTTCTGTTTTCTTTTGCCTTATCATTTCAAGAAGATACCATTTATCTTCTTTCCAAGAACTATCCAATTCATTGCATATCTCTCTAGTGACTAAGTATTGTTTCCCAAACATCCACTGAAAAAACCTCGGATCACACATTTCACCCTCATACTTCTTGGCGAGTGCAGTTCTCCTCTTCTGCATATCTTCCTCGTCGAATCCTGAGATTTCTGCAGCTGTCTCAATAGCCTCAATCACAACAGGGAAACAACACAGCAAGTTATGGATATGAAACTCAACACAATCCTTGTTGAGATGTAAACTTATGGCTTTCCCCCACCAATCTTTCACATCCAAACAACTTTTTATGTACATTTCGCCTTCTTTAAAGATCCTATGAAGTTCTCTCATTGGATGTTCAAGTGCTTTCCACTTTGTATTCCTCTCATTTAACCTTAAATTATGTCTGATTCCCTCCAAAATTGTATCGAAAGCTTGTACATACATGTCAAATAGAAGACAACATTGCTTCTGATTTATTTGAATGTCATGTTTCAATACCATTAGAGCCTTTAGGCTCCCTACTACCTCACCAATCTGCCTCAATTGATCCATCCTGCAGTTTTACAGGTGCAAAGTTCAAGAAAACATCTCCTGAAATAGAAAATTTGAGTATGCTTAAAAATACCAACACTAGTAGAGATTGCATTGCATGAAATAGAAATGAACATCAATTAATGATATTAATCATGGCCTAAGACTAATTTAGCATTAAAGCTGGCAAGATTAGCAATAAGATTGCATCATATGGAGCAACAACAACAACATATCTAGTATAAAATCCACAAATGGGGTCTGAAGAGGGTGGGCTATACGCAGAAAATTTACGGTAGAGAGGATGTTTCTGATAAAAAAGAAAAGGGCTGCCCGGTGCACGAAGCACCCAGCGTACATGCAAGGTCCGGAGAAGGGTTGCACTCCAAAAGAGTGTGATGTAGGCAGCCCACCCTGACACAAGGGTCAGTGGCTGATTTCACGGCTCGAACCCGTGACCTATAGGTCACACGGAAGACAACTTTACCGTTGCTCCTAGGTTCCCCTTCAGAATGTTTCGGATAGAATTAATTAATTTGAAAAATATGAAGCAAAAAAAAACTTATGGAGTGAAACTACATACCTAACACCAAAAATAGGTAAAAATTGTTAGTTATTCATGAGTTGGATTTGCACCTTGGAAAAGCGAAATGCTGATTTCTATTAGATTGGAATGAATCCAATAGAAACTCAGCACCAGCCCATATTTTTTTTATCTGAACAAGAAACCGCCTTTCTGGTAAGAAAAAACTGGATATGATCAAATTATAACAATGTGGTATTAAGGAAACAGGCCAAGAAACTTATGAAATAAGGGCAACCAATCCAAAAATTTCTCAAACTATGGTAACATTTAAATTACCAAGGTGATAAAATGTAGGTTGGTCTAAAAATGACAAAAGAAACAGTGATTTTTAAGGTTAAATTTTCTGCTAGATTTTTCATATAATATTACGAGATTGTTGGTTTCTTTTAGCATTTTTCTTGCCAACCTGAAGAAAATGGAAAGGCTGCTTCCTTTGGAATTCAGAGTTAGAAATGGCCGTTGACACAATTCCGTTTCTTTTGGGGCTGATTTAGTTTGGACATAAAAAGTTTTTCACTTTTTTTCGAGAATTTTTTATTTTTTTTGATATCAGTATTTGGTTATAAAATTTTCAATTTTCGCTTGAAGAGCTGTTTTCCAAAATTTTCACTCAGATCACTCAAACTTCAAAAGCAACCCAAAATATACATGTCCAAACACTACTCTAATTTTCAAATACCATTTTTACTTGAAAAAAATTCTCACTTTTTTTTTGAAATTTTGCAATTTGTTTACCTCGAAAATACGAGTAACAATTAAATATAATTTGTGGTTTTAAATATACGTTATTAAATTCAATACCAATTAATATTCAAGAAATATGAGTTAGAAATGAAAGAAGTAAGTGAATCAAACCAATGTTACTCAGCAGTGGTGACCTCGAGCTTAGCGACCTCGAGATGGATTAAGAGCAATAAAGTAAGAACAATAAATGTAAAGGACAATTCTGATGAATAGTAAGAGAGAAAAGTAGGATAGTATATTCTTGCCAATGATGAGATGGAT